GATTGTTTCATAACAATGAACAGGCTATTAATTTGATATGCACCATGGAAATATCCGCACAATCCGACAGGGGGGGGTGGTTTAGCCCGCGAAATACGGTACTCGTCCTCATTATATTTATTCTTATTTTGATGCATTATATATTTACACATATTCGACTAAACCGAATTTTTAAAGAATCGGCTAAGTTAACGACTAGTTCGACTAATGCAATATCGACTTGAAACACTAGAGATTAATTGTTGCGGTTTAGATCGGTCCAAATTTTTAATTTTTAATATTTTATAATTTAGTTGCCACCCTGTGACAAAATAAACGTAAATTGCGGATCATAATTTAGTTGCGTATAATAGCTGTTATAATCAAACAAAATCGCCTTAGCAGAAATCAATTTCTAGAATGAGTGCTCTTTGTCATTCCAGAGTTCGAATCTCAAGAGAGCAATTGGAATTCTAACTCTCGTGCATGCAAGCATCAGTAGGTTTAAATTTGAAATGGAGTTGAATAGAAATATTTACTTATTGATGTTAAGTTGCTATTTCACATTGTATAAAGCCAAATAAGATGCCATAAATAAAACTTAATGATAATTAGTGCCACAAGTTTATATCAAACAACTAATTCAAAAATGAATAGCCGAGTAATAATTTTTTTTTTAAATAAATCATGAGAATTATATCCTCTCTTTATTAACAAATTTTTCCCTTACTCATCATTAAAGCATAAGTCGCAAAATATTCAGAAACACGTATAATAGCCTTTTATTTAGATCACCGTACCATATTAGAAAACTAATGTATGAGGAAATTGACCTTTTGAGAGAGAAAATCTGGATTGTAAATAATCTTTGATATGGGGAGTATTCAATCCAGCGATGATTTTGCTATCGATTTCTTTTTGATCGGCAACCCTCGCTTCAGAAACTGTTTTTTTTGGCTAAAAAGAAAACCAGTTATATTTATGCTATAATCATGTGTGACAGACTTAAGATTGTTTACCTTTTGATTTTCGCCAACTAATTCCTCTTCGGTACCTTTTTTACTGTCTTTTTCCCTCTTAAAATAAGCGTCATCAAATTTATCAAGCTATTATGGAATTTAAATTATAATATATCAGCGATTTTATGTTTACATAAATATGATTTTTCTCGAAAACTTGTTAGGTTTTACCGAGCAAGTAGAAATATCGATTTTTGTGGAAGTAGCAATAACAAAGGCTTGATTAACACGTTTTAATGGAACGCCGTTGATTTTAAACGGTCCAGTTACCAATAGCATTCCATTAGGTAGTTGTTTTAAAAAGACGACACGCTTTCCACGAAAACGACCAGCTAACAAGATAAGAATAGTGCCAGGAGTAATGGAAGCACGAAGTTTAGTAGGTTTGTTAACTTTACGAGATTTCTTAGGATCTGGAATATCTTCTGCGGGATAAAATCGTGGTGCTTTTTCCAATGGAACAATACGATGTCCATCTTTGAATGGGACTTTTTTAGTGGTTGGGAGTTCAACTTCAGTTTTTTTAAAAGTTCCCTTCCTCTTTTCTTTGTATAAAGCTTTCTTAGCATAAACGGCGCTGCGAGAATAGCGCGGAATTCCCGGTACAAGAAATCTATTACGCGGTGCGTGTGCCATTTCACCACTGCGGAAAAATGTAATAAATTCATTAATACATTGCATTTAGTTTGGTGATTGAAAGATTGGACTGTCATTTGTATTCTAGTAGAATTCTGCTTCATCGGTAATTCTCTTCAAATATGATCCCTTTCATAAATTTAGATCAGATAATATGTAGCATAGTTTCGGTTAAATTAGTTTACGATGCTTTACAGGTTTTAAATCTACTATCTATGAAAATTTAAAAGTACTAATACTCAATTGAAATTACGAGCTCGTGAACCCAAGAAGTATATTTTATGTAATTGTTAAATGTATAAATTACAGAATTAGTTAAAAAAAAAAATACTTACCAAGACAGTGATGTCTCGATAGATGGATCAAAAGAGAAAAAAAATTGATATTAAGAAAACTAAATTTATATGACAAAAAACTATCGTATTTTGAGATTATCCAGTCACATTTTTTTTTTTTTTTTTTTTTTTTGACTCGGAGTTAATAGGATAGGATAATCATAAAAAAAAAAATTTTAAGGATCTTTTAAACTTTATCGTTATTGAATCAGAATCGCAATGGCTTCTTACGATCTGATTCCTCGAATGATCCCTTATATGGATAGACATCTTGTCTTTCCCCTACTGGAATTCTTGTCTTTGAATAAGGTTATTTGCGTTGGGATCTTTATGTTCGTTTCACGTCCACGCCGAAACTTATTTACAATTCTTGATCCTTAAAACCAGATCTATCCGAATCATGATCTACTTAAAGCTAAATACGAGCTCTTAGCCAAGACAAACATGGTGGACTTTATTTCTGAATTATATAAACAAATTCATGAGACAGACGAAGTTCTTCCAGGTATATTGTGTGATCTATGGATACTCGTATGATGGATAATTAAGAATGTAATATTCGCATTTTCAATGAATTCCATCTTTGTAGCGACAAGGAAAAAATCATTAGATAGTACTTCTTCACATTCCTTTAATTTATGTTGAGCACCTTCGAAATCGAATTTAACATATAAACTCTCAATAAATTCAGTGATTGGATCTCTATATTCATAACTCTCTTGTTGAATAATTTTTATTAAGTCTTTTAAAATATTTTTTCGGCGTTTGTTGGT